GAGTGCAGTGGCGTGATCTCAGCTTACTGCAACCTCCACCTCCCTGGCTCAAGCGATTCTCCTGCCTCAGCCTCCCAAATAGTTGGGATTACTGGCGCCTGCCACCATACCCAGCTAATTTATGTATTTTTAGTAGAGACGGGGTTTCACCATGTTGGCCAGGCTGGTCTTGAACTCCTGATCTCAAGTGATTCACCCACCTTGGCTTCCGAAAGTGCTGGGATTACAGGCGTGAGCCACTGCACTTGGCCTGAACTTTGATTTTTAACTCTTTCATTCAGCAAGACTGGGCTCTGTTTGGTTTCAATGGTTTCCCTGTATTGCCCATTGTCTAATATATGGAAACAGTTGTTTCATTTAGTTTGTCTGTTTTCTAGTTGCTTATGATAAGAAGGTAATCCCCATAGCAGTTAATCCTTCAAAGGCAAAGAAACCCCTTATGTCCTTTTTTATTTTTATACCTGGAAAATAATACTTTTTAGTTTACACAAAACAAAGTCATCCTTACCTTTGTAGATTTCTCTAATGGCTGATCATACTGTGCCTGCTGCATAACGTCACTGACTATCATTTTAGCAATCTTCCAAGCTAGCTCTTCCTGGGCCTAAAGAAAATAATTTAAACTGGTGATAACGGTTATTCATTAGATGGATCGAGATGCACATACTCAGTGCTCTTAACAAATGGCATAATTATGCACATCATTTCTACTTATTTGGATAAGAATTTCATTCCCACGTACGAAAAAACCTGGGCCACCCTCTGGCTATGAATATTAACATGTCATTCCCTGTCTTGCAGTGTCAACTGCTGGATACCTAGCACTGGAACTACTTTCAGGTTAGATGGTCAAAATAAAACACTTTCCTTTTTTCACCTCCCATCTCTCAATGTTCTTAACTATTAAAAAAGCAAGCCTCCACTACTTAAAGTAAAACTGATGGCGGGGAGGGAAACATTTGAGCTTTTGATCTATACATTGATTACTGATGCCTGCTGGCTGATGGAAACTTGAAAGCATGTATATCCTTCAGTGGTCCTAGCCTCTGGACTGAAGATACTTTCACTGCTACTATCAGGCAATTGTTATATGTTAAGAAGGGACCACCCTTTCTTGGTACATTGTGGATACGAGAGCATAAATGTGCCATGCTGCTTAAACATGGGAACTAAAGAAAAAGAAAATTTAAAACCTTACTTACACAGGATGGCACTTATAAACAGAAATCTCTTTATCCTAAAAGTAGAATTTACCTCATCAGTATTTCCTTGCACCCATTTCTTCATAGCTTGTGAGAACATGGATCCTAGTAAACAAAAACAAAATTGAATGTACATTTCATGCATAATCTTACATTAAAAATGCACTGGGCACAGTGGCTCACGCCTGTAATCCTAGCACTTTGGGAGGCCGAGGCGGGCGGATCACCTGAGGTCAGGGGTTCGAGACCAGCCTGGCCAACATGGTGAAACTCTGTCTCTACTAAAAATACAAAAATTAGCCAGGCATGGTGGTGTGCGCCTGTAATCCCAGCTACTCGGGAGGCTGAGGCAGAAGGATTGCTTGAACCTGGGAGGCGGAGGTTGCGGTGAGCCAAGATCGCACCATTGCACTGCAGCCTAGGGGACAAGAGCGAGACTTCATCTAAAAAAAAAAAAAAAAAAGCTCTTATTTGGCTGGCCGTGGTGGTTCACACCTGTAATCATAGCACTTTGGGAGGCTGAGGTGGGTGGTTCACCTGAGGTTAGGCGTTCGAGACCAGCCTGGCCAACATGGTGAAACCCCTGTCACTACTAAAATAACAAAAATCAGCCGGGCATGGTGGCAGGCACCTATAATCCCAGCTACTCAGGAGGCTGAGGCAGGAGAATTGCTTGCACCCAGGAGTGGAGGTTGCAAAAAAAGCTGGGCACGGTGGTTCACTCCTGTAATCCTAGCACTTTTGGGGAGGCCAAGGTGGGTGGATCACCTGAGGTCAGGAGTTTGAGACCAGCCTGGCCAACATGATGAAACCATGTCACTACTAA